GTTTTTGGTTCATTGTTTCCATTCTGCACATCCAATCACTTGATCAAGCAATCTGGTTATTTCAATATTGTTTGGATTTTCAGAAGGAAGGCTTCAAGCTTAAAATAGATCCGCTCGATATTTTGTGCTCAGGTTTCACCAAAAGCAAACAAAAATTAAAAATGTAATGGGGCGGGGTGGGGGGGGATACTTCCTGCATGCTGAATAGTTGAAATCAGGAACTGGAATCAGGTGGAGTGATGACACAAATTGAGCCAAAGGAACATGTCTAATTACAAAGGCAGCTGGCAGAATGCCACTCTGAGTCTATTCACCTGTTAAGAGGTCTTAACGCAATGAAACAAAGCAGTCCAGACAGGGAGTTGGCAAAAGGTCAAGCCAGGAAAGACTCCAAGTCAGCGTTTTTGTTTTTTTATTATTTATTTTTCTCCGGCCAGAGCAAACGGCACAGCCTGCAGCAATTGTTTGTGAAAGTCCGGTATGTGCTTGAGCGTTATGATCCAACTTGGACAATGGAGCTTCACAGAGAAGATTTATTCTGAACTAGACAGAAAAAAAAGCAGTTTTAAATAAATGCAATTCAAAGAAAGGGAGTCAGATTAGCAATCGGGACTAACCTTGGAAACGTTTGCACAGGAAACATTAAAACCCTGCAATGCAAGTATGAAGACAATTTCCAAAAGTCCATAAAATCAGACTCGAATGGGATTGGTTCAGATTTCAGACTTTTATTTTTGTTTTTAGACCCTAACAGAACCTTGCCTCTTTCTGCTTGCAGTCGATCCGGGGCTTGGAAACTTTTGCATTGGAAACATTAAAACCCTGCAATGAAAGTATGAAGACAATTTCCAAAAGTCCATTAAATCAGACTCGAATGGGGTTTAGATTTCAGACTTTTATTTTTGTTTTAAGACCCTAATAGAACCTTGCCTCTTTCTGCTTGCAGTCGATCCGGGAAGTGACGGGCTATGTCCTGGTGGCTCTGAACCAGTTTGACTACTTGCCGTTGGAGAACTTGCGAATCATCCGTGGGACAAAGTTGTACGAGGACCACTACTCCCTTGCGATCTTCCTCAACTACAGACACGACGGAAACTTTGGCCTGCGTCAGTTGGGCCTGAGGAACCTCACGGGTGAGTGACATTTGTTCTGTTGCGCCAATGTGAAGGGTCTCGCAAACCATTATGGGACTGGAAAAAAAAACAGGCGTTCATTCGCAGACTGTGAAAGTGATAGTTGGTTCGCAGACCTGCGGGTGGCTCTGTGTCCTTATGAACAATGGGGCTTTCTGTTGCTGGATTTCCTTTGGATGTTCCAAGCCCAGAGGCCATCAAGAAATGAAGCTCTTGACAAATGGAAAGCATCTTCCCCGCAGGGCAAAGTTGAGAAAGCATGTGCCAAACTAAGGTTGAATCAAACTATTCGATTTGCACGGTTGGTGTGATGGGTGCAACGCGGTCATGAAAGTGCCCATCTTTTTTTTTTTTTAGAAATTTTGTCAGTCATATCAATGATGGGTATTTATCACTGCAAATACACTGCAGTTTGCAATTTGGTTTGTTTTCAAAAATTGTTTTTTTTGTCTATATTAGGGAGCAACATAAACTAGATTTAAGTCGTTCTATAAGTGTGTTTTATTCATAAACAACCAAAAAATTTTTAATTCATAATATGGGCCCATGCATCTGACTACCGTGGTCCACTGAAAAAAATTAGGTAGGCTTGAATTCTTACTAAAACAACTGACTAGCATTCAGTGCATTTATTTTACAGTGTCAAGCCCCACCTTGTTTTCTGTCTTTATTCCATTCATAGGAATTGGCTATTTAAAATTCAAACATACACTTTTGATGGTCAGTTGGTGTTTGTTTGACTCCCAAATTAACGAAATTCGACACATTCAATTTTGTCATGAAATGTTGTCTGAATATCCTGTCCGTACGCGTCACTGCATGGCCACCCTACACCAAACTAGCGAGGATGTCCCCATATTTGCGTTTTTTTTTTGTTTTGTTTTTTTGCGGTCATAATTCATAATCGTAACCATGTATGTCATGTTTGCATTAATATAAACCGGCGGTACACCAAAAATCCGGTCACCGGAATATTTATTTATTTGTTTTTGGGTCACCCAACCAACATAGCTGAAACAGGATGCTGTGATGCCGCAAGCAAAAACCTTTAAAGCGAGCCCCTCTGGGAGAAACCACGGTGTCTGTCCCCGTCGTGTGGCACTGCCTTGGAGCTTGGGGTAACATTAGAGATAGGAAAAAAAAAGGGAGGGTGTAAATAAACAAAAGAAAACAAAACAGTGCACCTTGGTGGAGCCACATGTGTGCCGACGGCCCACTAAACTGAGTGGAGGTGGTTGTTGGGAAAATGAGCCCAAAATCCCTCCTTCCGCCGGGGCGGCCATTGCCCCGCGGCGAGGAGGCTGGCTGACCGTCGAGGACGCCGTCTCCGGTGGCTGTGAAAGCATCTGCATCATTCAAAAGGAAGCCGAGAGCTGGCACTTGGACACATTTGGCCAAGTGCATAAAATGATCAAACTGAGGAATTTGTGTTTATTTTATTTTTATTGTTATTTTTTTTTGAGGTTGTTGTGGTATTCTGGTTTCTGCCAAGAATGTTCAAGTCAATGCATCCCTAATGTACACATCTGTTTCCGTTGTTTTTTTTTTTTTTAATCATTTGATTACTTTGTTATATTTATGTATTTATTTATTGTTTTTTGTTGTTTTTCTATTATTTATTTTTCTCCAGCCAGAGCAAACGGCACAGCCTACAGCAATTGTTTGTGAAATTCCGGTATGTGCTTGAGCGTTATGATCCAACTTGGATTCCTTCCCACATGTTGTTGCACTACGCTTTGGGAATTTCTTTTTTTTTTTTATATCACCACTGGCAGCTTTATTTCTCCAAGATGGTCCTTTTTATTACAGTGCCAAGTTGATGCTATAGTGCTCGGGGAGTTCAGGATGGACTCTGTGCAAGGCCACAGTTTGATGCACCATCCGTGGCCTCCAGCCATAACGTGCAAGGGAAGTTGTGCATCACAGCCAAGGCCTGAATCTGCTTTACCGCTGGTATCACTGCTCGTGTTCACGGTTTAGCTTTTTCTTCCGAACAACCCATAAGACGAATATTGAACATGCTAAGAAAAAGAGGAAAAAAAAAGAAGATAACATGCGTTTTCTGTTTTTTATAAGACGAATATTGAACATGCTAAGAAAAAAGAGGAAAATAAAAGAAGATAACATGAGTTTTCTGTTTTTTATGATCAGTCGTCAGGATAGATGGTTGGCTGCGGCGCCCATGACGTACGAATGAATTAGTAAACGACTAAAACACAATCTTGCCATCTGTCATTATCATGGCAACTCGCGGTGTGAAGCTGACCGTTTTGCTTTGGCTCAGTGATAGTTGGTTCGCAGACCTGCGGGTGGCTCTGTGTCCTTATGAACAATGGGGCTTTCTGTTGCTGGATTTCCTTTGGACGTTCCAAGCCCAGAGGCCATCAAGAAATGAAGCTCTTGACAAATGGAAAGCATCTTCCCCGCAGGGCAAAGTTGAGAAAGCATGTGCCAAACTAAGGTTGAATCAAACTATTCGATTTGCACGGTTGGTGTGATGGGTGCAACGCGGTCATGAAAGTGCCCATCTTTTTTTTTTTTTAGAAATTTTGTCAGTCATATCAATGATGGGTATTTATCACTGCAAATACACTGCAGTTTGCAATTTGGTTTGTTTTCAAAAATTGTTTTTTTTGTCTATATTAGGGAGCAACATAAACTAGATTTAAGTCATTCTATAAGTGTGTTTTATTCATAAACAACCAAAAAAATTTTAATTCATAATATGGGCCCATGCATCTGACTACCGTGGTCCACAAAAAAAAATTAGGTAGGCTTGAATTCTTACTAAAACAACTGACTAGCATTCAGTGCATTTATTTTACAGTGTCAAGCCCCACCTTGTTTTCTGTCTTTATTCCATTCATAGGAATTGGCTATTTAAAATTCAAACATACACTTTTGATGGTCAGTTGGTGTTTGTTTGACTCCCAAATTAACGAAATTCGACACATTCAATTTTGTCATGAAATGTTGTCTGAATATCCTGTCCGTACGCGTCACTGCATGGCCACCCTACACCAAACTAGCGAGGATGTCCCCATATTTGCGTTTTTTTTTTGTTTTGTTTCCGTACGCGTCCCTGCATGGCCACCCTACACCAAACTAGCGAGGATGTCCCCATATTTGCGTTTTTTTTTTGTTTTGTTTTTTTGCGGTCATAATTCATAATCGTAACCATGTATGTCATGTTTGCATTAATATAAACCGGCGGTGCACCAAAAATCCGGTCACCGGAATATTTATTTATTTATTTTTGGGTCACCCAACCAACATAGCTGAAACAGGATGCTGTGATGCCGCAAGCAAAAACCTTCAAAGTGAGCCCCTCTGGGAGAAACCACGGTGTCTGTCCCCGTCGTGTGGCACTGCCTTGGAGCTTGGGGTAACATTAGAGATAGGAAAAAAAAAGGGAGGGTGTAAATAAACAAAAGAAAACAAAACAGTGCACCTTGGTGGAGCCACATGTGTGCCGACGGCCCACTAAACTGAGTGGAGGTGG